ATTGCTCCAGCTGCCGCTCCCAACAGCCCCTGCAAGAGCGCAGACATCAGTGCCCGTTGGCTTTGGCTGCCCTGTGGCAGAGAAGTGCCCTGGGGACACAGCTGTGTGGGGCAGGAGACGGGCACCAGCCCTGCCAGGACTGGGGGTGGTGGCAGGTCTCCTTGGGCGAGGGCTTGCCAGAGCTGCTGATTTTGGTGCAGCCCCGGGCAATGGGGTGGGAGCAGCATTGGTGCCCTTGCCCCCACGTTCCTTCTGTGTGTCACAGCCCTGTGTTCGGGAGGGCCACCAGCCGGCACTTCTCCCAAGGAGCCCGTACCAGCTTGTGTGGAGGCCCCGTGGCCTTCCTGCTGCGGCTGCGTCGGCAGCCGAGGGGGCTCCTTCTGCTGCCGTGGGCAGGCACAGCAGGGGAGGGTTTGCTTAGTTTTTCAACTGTGCCGAAAGTTCGTGTCCAACTGTCTTGGATACTTTGGTGAACGGATTCCTTCCCAACTGGGGCAGGTTGTTTGGGCTGGAGGAGTCCCCAGGGCACGTGGCAGTGTGTCACAGGGCCCTTTGTGACACGATGGGATGGCACGGGGCAGGGTGTCACAGGGCCCTTTGTGACACGATGGGACATAGTACTGGTGGTGAGGTGGCAACGCCTCAGTGCTCCTCGGAGCGTGCGACGGGACGGACGGGACAGAGCGGTGCTGTGCGGAGCCCCCGTGCAGCCAACTCGTTCCTTTCCTACCGAAGCGTTTTGGTGGTTTTTCTGTGGTGTGAGCGTCCTCGAGGCCAGACCGCGGGACTTGGTGACACGGAGCTTTTGCGAGGTGTCCCCAGTCCCTGTGGCAGCTGCCCTTGAGGCCGCACTGCAGGACTCGTGTTTCGTAGGCTTTTCTATCTTTCAGGTGCCCTCGAGGCCAGACCGCGGGACTTGGTGACCCGGAGCTTCGGCGAGGAGTCTCCAGGCCCTGCGGCAGGTGCCCTCGAGGCCATTCTCTGGGGCTTCGTGCCCCGGAGCTTTTCCCTGGCGTCTCCAATCCCTGCAGCAGGTGCCCTCGAGGCCTAACTGTAGGATGGCGGAGAGACGCTTCCGTGTGACCAGGCTGCTGAGGAGGAAGAAAACGAAGGAAGACCCTGGGCCTGCCCCAGCACAGCAGCCTGAGGAGGTGGAGCAGTTCCAGCCCCTGCAGGAAGGTGAGTGGCAGAGCTGGGCCACAGGGCTGGTGACTGCAGCCAGATGGGCCTCATCCTGGCCATGTCCTGTGGATATGGCCAGGGAAAGGGAGGGGGGAAGGGGGCTCAGGGCTGTTCTCCCGGCAGCTCCATGCACTGGGCATGCTGGGGCCGGCCCTGCCTGTGGAGTGCAGGGCTGGACCGTGTTCTCCGGCCTGTCCCGCAGCCCCTCAGCTCTGACCATGCTCACTCTTTGCCAGATCCAGGACGGGACCAGACTCAAGAACAGGACCGTGCCCGTGACCACTTCCGCAGGGCAGCACAGGTACCTGCAGCCACGGCCTCCTGGGCTGGGCCTGCTGTCCCTACTCAGCCTGGCACCGCTGTCAGAGCTCACCATGGCACATCCCTCTCTTCCCTGCCCTTCGTTCTCCTGTAGGCCTTCCTGAAATTCGTGGGTGTTCGGCGTGAGCAGTACAGGATCACACCAGCCGAGGTCACGGCACAGCCTGACCCCACGCCGAGTGAGCTCAAGGTGCACCCTGAAGTCGGCACCGCGTTGACTGATGACACAGCAAACTGTGACACCGCGGTGACCGATGATGGGACAAACTCCAACACCGCCCTGCCTGAGCTCACCATGGAGGCTGACTGTGCAACGACTGAGGGCATCGCAGACACTGAGAGCACACCCGTTCAGTGCCTGCCCGATGCTCTGAGTCTGGAGGTCCTTGATGAAGGAGTTATCTCTGTGGAAGTAAGCAGCCTGTGGGCAGGGATTGTGAGGCCCCTCGAACTGGGTCTGCTGGGCCCCCTCAGCCTTTGAGGCTGGCACAGTGTAGTGGGAAGGGAAGCACTTTTGGGGGGAAAGTGGGCAAGTTGCTCCTTCTGCCAGCTTTTGAACTGCCCCATGTCCCCTCCAGGCCAGACTGTGGGATTTGATGACCCAGAGCGTTCCCAAGACTCCTTTGTTGCAGGTGCCTTCAACATACTTCTTAGGTGACCCAGAGGTTTTTCCGTGCCGTGTCTCCTGCAGGTAGCCATGGAGGCAGACGGAGGCATGGAGCAGAGACCCCCAAGGGTGCCGAAGCTGGCGTGGGTGAAGAAGGAGGAGGAAAGCCCTGGAATACCCCCGGCACAGCACCCTGAGGAGGTGGAGCAGTTCCAGCCCCTGCAGGAAGGTGAGTGGCAGAGCTGGGCTCCAGGGCTGGTGGCTGCAGCCAGATGGGCTTCTTTTCATCCCATTTCCTGTGGACATGACCAGGGAAAGGGAGGGGGGAAGAGGACCCAGGGCTGATCCATGCACTGGGCATCCCAGGGCTGGCCCTGCCTGTGGAGCGCAGGGCTGGGCCGTGTTCTCCGGCCTGTCCCGCAGCCCCACAGCTCTGACCACGCTCACTCTTTGCCAGATCCAGGACAGGAACGGACACAGGAGCAGGACCGTGCTCGTGGCCGCTTCCACAGAGCTGATCAGGTACCTGCAGCCACGGCCTCCTGGGCTGGGCCTGCTGTCCCTGCTCAGCCTGGCACCACTGTCGGAGCTCTCCATGGCACATCCCTCTCTTCCCTGCCCTTTGTTCTCCTGCAGAGGGTGCCGAAATCCGATCGTGTTCGGTGTAGAAATTGCAGGACCTCACCAACCAAGGCCATGGCACAGCCTGACCCTGACCAAGCTGTGCTCAAGGCCGAGACTGACAGCCCACAGACTGAGGACATCGCAGACGCTGACACAACACCCACTCAGTGCCTGCCCGATGATCCCAGTGTGGAATTTCTTGCTGAGGGACTCATCTCTGCTCAAGTAAGCAACCTGTGGGCAGGGATTGTGTGGGCCCTCAAGCTGGGTCTGCTGGGCCCCTTCATCCTCCATCCTTGAGGGCAGCACAGTGTGGTGGGAAGGGAAACACTTCTCTGGGGAAAGTGAGCAAGTTGCTCCTTCTGGCAGCTCTTGAACTGCCCCATGTCCCCTCCAGGCCAGACTGTGGGATTTGATGACCCAGAGCATTCCCAAGACTCCTCTGTTGCAGGTGCCTTCAAGGTACTTCTTAGGTGACCGAGAACTTTTCTGTGCCACATCTCCTGCAGGTCGCCATAAAGCCAGAGAGAGGCATGGAGCAGAGACCCCCTAGGGTGCCAAAGCTGGCGTGGGTGAAGAAGGAGGAGGAAAGCCCTGGAGTACCCCCGGCACAGCACTCTGAGGAGGTGGAGCAGTTCCAGCCCCTGCAGGAGGGTGAGTGGCAGAGCTGGGCCACAGGGCTGGTGGCTGCAGCCAGATGAACCTCATCCCATCCCATCTCCTGTGGCCATGGCCAGGGAAAGGGAGGGGGGAAGCGAGGCTGAAGCTGATCCCCCGGCAGCTCCATGCACTGGGCATCCCAGGCCTGGCCCTGCCTGTGGAGCGCAGGGCTGGGCCGTGTTCTCCGGCCTGTCCCGCAGCCCCTCAGCTCTGACCACGCTCACTCTTTGCCAGATCCAGGACATGAACGGACACAGGAGCAGGACCGTGCCCGTGGCCGCTTCCACAGAGCTGATCAGGTACCTGCAGCCACGGCCTCCTGGGCTGGGCCTGCTGTCCCTGCTCAGCCTGGCACCGCTGTCGGAGCTCACCATGGCACATCCCTCTCTTCCCTGCCCTTCGTTCTCCTGCAGAGGGTGCGGAAATCCAAGCCTGTTCGGCGAAGAAAGGCCAGGACCTCACCAGCCGAGGTCACGGCACAGCCTGAGCCCATCCCTACTGAGCTCAAGGGCAAAGCTGACTGTGCAACGACTGAGGGCATCGCAGACACTGACAGGACACCCATTCAGAGCCTGCCCGATGTTCCCAGTTTGGCCTTTCTTGATGAGGGAGTTGTCTCTGCTCAAGTAAGCAGGGCGATGCGCCGTGTCTCCAGCCCCTTGTGTTCCCGCATCACACTCCACCTGCTGGAGCTGCTGAGCAGGGAGGAGCCGTGCTGGGACCTCCCTGCCATGGCATTCCTCGTGGAGGTGAGCCTGATAGTGAGCGCTGCCTCACTGAGCTGCCTCCAGCTCTCTGGCCTCTTGGAGGGCCCAGCCCTGTGT